TATATATATATAACTGCGATGTTCAGACCCTTGAGCAGCACTGAATTTTAAAAACACACAGACACACAAATCTGTAGTGGAAATCACTGCATGAGCCCAGGAAGGCTGCACTCTAATTCGCAAGGGGTCATTCAGCATATTCTTGCACCTGATGCCCTTTCTGATGCAACCCAGTCTCCTCCCAGGATTAAACCAGGAATCTTTTGCTTGTTTGGCAAATGTGCAAACCACTATATTATAGAGCCACATATAGAACATTTCTGAAAACCATACTTTATAATTGCTTACAAAAATTCAATTCTGTACAGTTTTATTTCATTTATATTAATATTATTATTTATATAGCACTAAATCACAACAACAGTCACCTCCGGGCGCTTTACATTGTAAGGTAAAGATCCTACAATCAGATGACCCCCCTATGAGTAGGCACTTGGCAACAGTGGGAAGGAAAAACTCCCTTTTAACAGGAAGAAACCTCCAGCAGAACCAGGCTCACAGAGGGACAGCAGCCATCATCTTTGACTGGTTGAAGGTGAGGGGAGGAAGACAGGACAAAGACAAACAAGTACCACGCAAAGAAAACCATCTGTACCTTCCCCAGGGCTGAGCTCATTTAAGGTGGAGATGTTAAATATTAAACTGCAAGTCTTCCAGGCTAGAGTATAGGGGCCATCCAGATTCTTATCTTTGTGTTATCTTATTCCAATCCCAATGTGTCCAACAGCTAACGCTTGGATGGAATTTGATCATGCGACAGGAGAAAGATCCACAGCAGCAAAACAGAATGACTGAAAAAAGAAAAATAATCAAGGTGCTGCAACAGCCGAGTCAAAGTCCAGGCTTGAACAAGACTGAAATGTTGTAGTGAGACCTTAAGAGAGGTGTGCATGAATGAACCTTAATGAACTAAAGGAACACTGTTAACAAGAGTGAGCCAAAATTCCTCCACCATGACGTGAGAGACTGACAAAAGCAAGAAGAGAATAAGTACTTCAGGTTATTGTATTATTATATAGTTGATTCTACAAGACGATGAATTATGGGGTGTACTCTGCTTTTTAACAGGGCTACACAGACACCAATACAATCTTTGTTTTTCATGTGACTTTAAATGTGACAAAACAACTATAAGGTAAAAACTAATCTGAAATGAAAATATAGCTAAACTAATACTTTTTAATTGGGTTGCACTGCATAATGAACATTCACATTTGATGTCATGGTCTCAGCAACTGTAGTGAAGCCATTTGAAAGTCTATGTAAAGTTACAAGCAGGAAGGCTTTGCTCTTATATATTGCTGGTTGGACATGGTGCATTATGACTTTAACTTAGCTCTGAAAGGTCAGGTAGTCATCGTATACATTTTGATATTATATTTGGAAAGTGAACCTGCTACCTCCCTAAAAAAAACTAATCCCACATATAATATTTTTATGTTTTGGAGTCATTTTGTAATTGCTCCTCAGTTACAAGATGCCAGCCTATTCAGGAGGTATGTTGTCCTCAACCTATAGTCAGTACAGTATGTGTTTAATCAAAAACAGTACTCTACATACTCTCAGGTGTCATGTTTTGTAGAACTGTGGTCTGCAGTGGCTGCTAGAGCAGCACTGATCTCTGTGATGTGGACTGTGTTACTTATTATGGCATACTGCGGCATCCGTCAGCCGTTTCTGAATGTAGAAACGCGTTCAAAGTGTCAGAGTGAACGAGAATAACCAGCTCGTGTAAAAAACAGCCAGTTGTCGTGACGATTTTGGGTTTGAAGTCCTCGTGCCTTCATTGTATGTCATAATTTCTCATGGCATGCAAATTCACACCCCACATTCAAATAAAACCACAACCACCACACGGGGGGTAACAGTTTACAACCCACACATGAAAAACAAAACTGTGTAACATTTGTGATGTAAGGGGCACAAAACTTCAAGAATAAATTTAGAACCCATTCGTCCTTCAGTTGTGTGATTTACTGACAAAAAGTAGTAAGCTGATGTTGCATCACATATATTTCAGTATCCCTTAATTAAACCTTTCAACATTTACTACACAGTGTTTACTATTAATAGTATTAACCTGTGAAT